GCTGAGGTCTATATTGGAGTCCCGGGGTAAAACGTCCTTAAGGATCCAACTTTATACAACGTCTGCTTCCGTGGAATCCGGAGGTAAGGCGTTCTCAAGGATCCACACGTCCGTCTCCTTCAGACTGTAAACATCAACTCTTACCATGGCATCCCGGGGTAAAGCATCCTTAAGGATCCAACTTGTTTATCATTCCTTCCGTGGCATCCCCGGGTAAAGCATCCTCAAGGATCCACACCAAGGCCGGACCACACATCCTTCTTCTTCTTCTTCACTTCCTCTTTTACCGCTGTGGGTGTCGTGTGAGATATAAGGTTCTGTTTCTAGCTCTTCTGGCCGCCTCGACCATAGGCACATCGTGCTGTTGTAGAGTTTCTCTGATGTTATCCTTCCATCTTGTTCTTTGTCTACCCCGTGCTCTACGTCCTTCTTCTCTTTCCATGTATGCTTTGTATGGTATGGTGTCACAAGGCATTCTCTAAGTGGGCAAACCATTTCACTTGCTGTCTTTGTATGTAATCCAGAATTGGTTCTATGCCGACTTGTTCTCTTATGATCTCATTCCTGATCTTATCTCTTATGGTCACTCCTACAGCCCTTCTCAGATATCTCATTTCCGTGGTTACTAATTTTCTTTTATGGTTTGTTGTGAGTGACCATGTCTGGCACTGGTAGCACAGAGTTGGAATAAATATGCTTTTAATAAGATGTCTCTTTGTGCTGATTGGGATTGTCTTATGCTGTAAGAGGGGAGCTCATTCATTCATTCAGTAGCATGTCCCTCGCGGAACCTCGCTGCCATAACAACCCTCCGGAAAACCTTCCTATCCTGAGCAAGATGTCCTGCGTCTGATACACCCATCTGGAGATCATCTGCCACATCCTGCACCCATCTTCTCCTTGGCCTTCCTCTTCCTCTCTTCCCAGGCATATACCCCTCCATTATTGTTCTCTCTAGACTTCCATGACGTTTCAAGTGACCAAAATATTTCAATTTTCTTTGTTTTATTGTCTTTACTAGCCAACCCTTTTCAATATTCAGCTCTTGAAGTATGGATGCATTTGTTCTTTTCTTTACCCAATATATTCTTAGAACCTGTCTGTAACATTTATATTCAAATGCATTTATGCGCTGTTCCGCTTGTTTAGTAAGTGTCCAGGTCTCACAGGCGTATGTTGCAATGGGAAAGATGCATGCTCTTAAAAATCTGACCTTTGTAATTCTATCTGTACAATTCCATAATTTATTCAGTTGTTTTAGTCTTTGAAGAGCAATTGATAGTCGCCGTTTAATTTCTATCATTGTGTCACCATTGTTGGTAACCAGTGACCCAAGATATTCGAAATTTTCCACCACTTCCAATCTTTCCTCATTAATATATATTTCCTTCTCCATGGCAGTTTTGTTTGTATGCATTATCTTTGTTTTTTGCTATGTTAAGAAATAAGTTATGATTTTCACTATTTCTTTGGAGTGAGGTTAATAAGTTTTCTAAACCATTTTGTGATGTTGATAGTAATACTGTATCATCAGCATAACGAATTTCTGGTATTTCATGACCACCGATGTTTAGGGCATCATATTGTTCCTTGTTTATATCATCTCTTACATTTCTCATTATATTTTCGGCGTACAGGTTGAACAAATACGGTGACAGCACACATCCCTGACGGACTCCTTGCTTGATGCCAAACCAGTCTGATGTCTCTCCATCTATTCTGACTGCTGCTTGTTGGTCTTGATAGAGCATTTTAATGAGCTGCACTATATGTGATGGAAAGCCCATATTCCTCATGATTTCCCAAAGCTTCTGATGTTGTACACAGTCAAATACTTTTGAATAATCCACAAAACATAAGAACAGATTTACATTAAATTCTCTACACTTCTCTATTATTAAACGCATGTTGAATATATGATCTCTTGTTCCTCTTCCCTGTCTAAATCCAGCCTGAGCTACATTAATCTCTTCTTCCATTTTCTTATGCAGTCTTCTCATTATAATTTTTAGTAGAATTTTACTTGCATGACTGATCAGGGCAATAGTTCGATAGAAGAGGGAGGCTAGCTGTCCCAATACTTGGTTTGCTTTACTGCATCTAATGTTAATTTCTTTATCAAATTTCCCATCTTCGGTAAATGTAGCTCCCAGATATTTAAACTCAGATGCCTGTTTAATGCCTTTGTATTCTATTGCTATGTTTAGATCTTTCTTTTTTTTTTTTCCTATTGACATTACTTCTGTCTTTACAGTGTTGATTCTCATATTATTTGTTTTACATTCTTCATTCATGGATGTTAGATGTCGTTGCAATTTCATGGCTGTATCTGCTATCAAGGCCTGGTCATCTGCAAAGAGTAATTCGTTGATCTTACTAAGATCTTCATTCATGGGCTTGGCATTCTTGCATATACTCATTCTTGCATATACTGTCGATGTAGGTGATAAACAGCAGTCGTGATAAGACACACCCCTGTCTTACTCCAGATGCCACTGTGAAAGGATGAGATGTTCCCTGATTTATTCTAACTACACTTCTCCAATCCCTGTATAAACTTTTGCACACTTCGATGAGGTGTTCGCTAACTCCATATCTTTCCATTACTTTCCATAATAATTGTCTGTCGACTCTGTCAAATGCCTTCTCCTGGTCTACGAATGCCACAAATAAGTTCTTATTGTATTCAATGTTCTTTTCTATTAACTGTTTTAGTGTGAAGATTGCATCTGTGCAGCTTCTATTTCTCCTAAATCCCATCTGTTCTTCTGCCAGCTGTGGTTCTATCACTGGTCTCAGTCTTGTTTCTATTATCTTGGCATACATTTTGCCAGCATGAGAGAGATGCCTCGATATTGACCGCATTCTCGTTTGCTTCCTTTGTTCTTCCACAATGGTATAACTATTGCATGTTGCCAATCAATAGGGGCCGTTTGTTGTACCCATGCTGCATTGAATATTCTGTGAAGCCATCTGATGCTGCTTTCACCTGCTGCTTGAATTATTTCTGTTGGTAATCTATCAGCTCCTGGTGCTTTATATTTGGGAGACTGTTTAATGACTTTTTCTATTTCATCCATTAGTATGTGTGGTTCTAACACTGTTACTCTGTGCTCTTCAGTTGTTCTTTCCTGATGATCTCCTAGAGGATTAAAAAGCTCATTGAAGTATTCCCTCCATCTTTCTGCTATCTCGGGTGGATCTATCAATGGCCTTCCTGTCTTATCATTAATTATTTCAGTAGGGTTGTAGCTCTCATCTCTTTTCCGCCTTGGTCAAACTTCGACTTTCATCTCCTAGAATACAATCCCTTCACAACCTGACGTATTTTTTTTTGACGTCCTATTTGCTCACTCAGTACTGGTGCGTTCTAGTGCACATCCGCACGCGACAAGGTCTCTGAAGCGAACTAATTTAGCCTTTTTACATATGTATTGATGTGGATTAATGGGGAAAAGATGCTATAGACAGTGTTGCGCGGAGAGAAAAATTGACGAAGGAAATAGTGAGATGGATGCTATAGACCAGTGACTCTCAACCTTCCTAATGCCGCGACCCTTTAATAAAGTTACCTCATGTTGTCGCGACTCCCAAACAATAAATTTTCATGGTCTTATGCGATCCTTGTGAAAGGGTCGTTCGACTCCAAAAAAAGGGCCTCGACCAGCAGGTTGAGAACCCCTGCTATAGACAGTGTTACGGGGAAAGAAAAATTCAGGAAGGGAATTGGGGAAAGTTGACTGCAGACCGGCTAAGAACTGAGTGAGTAAGTGACGCTCAACTACATCAGGACCGCACAACGAGCGATAACACACCCAGTGACACAAAGTGCAACTATTCAGATGAGAATCACCCAGAACCCCCCCCCCCCCCCCCCCTCCCACTCCTGAGGTTATATTAGTACATCCTACTACAGCCGGAGTGGGGCTGTAAAATAACGCCCCCCCCCCCCACACACACACACACAAAATCCTCCCATACTGGGGCGAGGTTGGCTTTTTAAAAGCTGAGGGTGTGAGAAGCTCTTTAACACTGGCACTGAAATCACTAAGCTCTAATTGTTGAAGACTGCGCGTATTTTGCTAGTCATAATAATTATGGCCATGGACGGAATCCAATGTTTCCCTGCAGCACAGTATAACACTATCGTCTGGAAAGACGGGAAAGGTGCCATCAAAGAAAGTTGTGGTTGATTCCAGTCTCTCCGTCTGTCTCTTTCTCTCTCTCTCTCCCCCCCCCCCTTCCCTCTCTCTCTCTCTCTTGTTATACCCCATTCCTATCACACAAGCGATAAAAATCCGGTGACACAAAGTGTCACCATGCAGATGAGGATTACCTGTGGAGAGGTCACAGAAACCCATATCAGCCGTTATGCCATATTTATGGCCGGGCTATATTCAGGGACTCCGGCAAAAGCCAGGGTGGGGCTTCGAATAACGAAAATTGCACCCAACATGGGGACGACTGGGTCACATAAGATCTTTTCCGGTCTTCAAATACTGGTGTTTTAAAGACTTGGCGGTTGTCACTAGATCATTGCACACCACTTGCGATCAGCTGATCTGCAGAAAGAGACAGAAGTTAGGGTTAGGTAGCCAGGGTAGTGCATTGATTAGACGTTTGCCTGACGATTTATTATTATTATTTTGTCTTTTAATAATTGACCTTTGCTGCAAAGTAGACGTAGACTAAAGACGCTCTAAGTAGACTGTCAGCGTGATGGTGACCATATCATACCTCGAGTGTGACTGATCTATAAAATGCGAGTCTTGTTGCACCATATGCCCAAATAAGCTTCAGATTTATAAAGGGTTCCTTTATGTCTAACATCTGGGATAAAATCGACTCATGTCCCTCCAAACATCTTTTTTTTTTTTCCATATTAATTTTCACGGATTGTTTCGTTTACTTACCACAACAACAACAACGACAACTAAAACAACACAATTAAATATAAAAACCCGGAACGCAGAGAAAAGTTTTTCAACACGCCCGACAAAATGGCCGATCTTGTGGATGTTCTGCTACAAGAGGTGGACAGCACCGGTTCTGTTGATTCCCTGGATCTCTCTCGACGCCGGGGAGTTAATCATCAAGTTATTGTTGGGGCGATAAAAAGTCTGCAGTCGTTGGGCAATGTGAGGAAATATTTTTTTGGGAGCTAGCTTGGCAATACCTTTGAGTTTTTTCCGGCTATAACTTGGATGTATCATTATTTATATCAGTATGAAATGATGCAATTGCATGGCCATGAGTAAATGAAGACTTTAAATGGACTGTATTTTTGGTTAGGAATTTCGAAATCTGTTACTGTTAGATGTTGCTGTGGATAAGACGCTAACTTGCTGGCCTGATAGTTAAGGTTCGAATCCTAATCAATGCGGATTTGTCTGCTCTCTTATGTCAACTCGAGCGTAAAAAGTAAAATTGGCAGTCCTCCGAACATTACACAACAACGATCCCATATTCGGTGCTCCCCAATTCTAAAACACTAATGATGTTTTAGAAGTTATAGTTGGCGTTAGCCTCCAGTACTGAGAAAGCAGATATGCTCCTCTGACGTGAAATGGACTCTTAACTCTACTAACCGTGTCTCTATAATTTATAATGTATGTTAAGAATGTTGGCTATCCTCCAAATAATTGTCCCAAATTATCAAGGCAGAAAATATACCCTAACAGGGCTTCAGACACATGTCAGTTGCGGACTTCCGGCGACTACCGCCACCGCCGAGAGTATCTCCCACGCTGCTGCGTGGAGCGGGACTAAACTAGATGGCTGAGGCTCACGAGCAAATAAAATGAAGGAAGCTGCAGGAGATGCGGTAGTTGCTGCTCATGAGTCCCAGCTATCTAATTTAGCCCCGCTCCACGGTATGTGTAGCGGCATGGGGATGCTCTCGGCGGAAGTCGTCGGAAGTCCTCAATTTAAGTCACAGGAAGTCAGCAATTGACATGTGACTGAGGCCCAGTTAGGGTATATTTTCGACTTCGATAATTTGCAACTGTTATTCGGAGGATAGCCAATTTGTCAAAAAAGCCTGCTCTCTCATGTCCACTCGAACGTAAAAAGTAAAATTGGCAGTCCTCCGAACGGCGGTCCCATATTCGGTGCTCACCAGTTCTAAAACATAAATGATGTTTTAGAAGTTATTGTTGGCGTTAGCCTTCAGTACCAAGAAAGCAGATATGCCCCTGTTATGTGAAATGGATCTGAAACAAGACTAAAACATGGTCTGCATCTTAACTCTACTAACCGTGTCTCTATAATTTATGTTAAGAATTTTGGATCCCCCATTTGGAAGATTGCCTACAACAATTTAACATAGATGACAAGAAATATCTTGTGAAGTAAAGTTACTTCTTTAGTTGTCATCCGCTGGGCGCCGTTGAGTTGATAAACACGGGACTCTTCTAGCGCACATGCTCATGATGCATGAGGTCATTGAAACTAAAACACAATCTTCACCTTTTATTCAGTTTATTCACAAATGGGCTGTCCTCCGAATAGTGGTCCCAAATTATCGAGGCCAAAAGTATACCCTAACAGGGCCTCAGTCACATGTAAATTACGACTTACGGCAACTTAAATTGCGGACTTTCGGCGACTACCACCACTGCCGAGCGTATCTCCCATGACGCTACGTGCGGCATGGAGCAGGGCTAAACTAGATGGCTGGGACTCACGAGCAACATCTACCGCATCTCCTGCATCTTCCCTAATTTTATTTGCTCATGAGTCCCAGCCATCTAGTTTAGCCCCGCTCCACGCCGCGCATTACAGTGTGGTAGATAGTCCCTGCGGTGGCGGTAGTCATTGGAAGTCCACAATTTACATGTGACTGAGACCCTGTTAGGGTATATTTTCGGCCTTGATAATTTGGGACCGTTATTCGGAGGATAGCCCACAATTGAAATATTCAAATAGCTTCTACAAGCCAGTTGACTTAGTTTCTCTTATAACCAAATTCAGATGCATAATTTGAGGACGGTTTAGTTTGCCAAGCCTCTAAGTCTTTGATCTTTGCTACCACAGACTTTCTGTCTCATCTTAGATAGAAAGTTCAGGTAGTATATATAGTATCTTGATTTTTGCCTTTGTTTTTCTCTGTTTGATATCAATTTGTAGAGAGGGGGGGGGGGGGGGCTGTATATTCCTCTTTCCCCAATGAGGCCAGAGAGCACAATGCTGAAGTTCATATCCTTTCTGTGTTACCTTAGTATTCTTGTTTTGTTAAATGGTCGTAAGAATTGTATATTGTTCTTATTTGTATGCAGACTGTTGGTTTTTCATCTCTCAAGTAGATGCACTCCAGCTTCTAAGGAAACACCCTTTTACGTCATGATTGTAGAGGAGGGGGGAACAGCGGGTGTGTAAGGAACCCCCACAGGGAACCCAGTGTCGATGTTCATATCCTTTGTGCGTTACCTTAACATTCTTGTTTTCTTGAATCATCAGGAGAATTGTATGCTTTTTTTTTAGATAATCAAAGTTGAAGACAAGCAGAGCAAGAGATGGCAGCTCACAGAGGAAGGTGTGCTTGTGTTGCAGAAAGGGAGCCACGAGGCAGTTTTATTTGGAGCAATCCCTAAGGAGGGTATTGACCAAGCTAAATTAATGGTAAACTAATGGCTTTAAAATTTACATATAACTCAGACTTTCATGTTTTTAAAACAAAGTTTTCCATTTATGAATTTAAATAACTAGGGCACAGACACAATTTATTGCAGCAACAGTGGTAGTTGAGATGTGCCATCCCACTATATGAAAACAGTAAGATCATGTGTTGTTAACCTTTCTTCTTCTTCTTCGTGTTTACCAGCTATAAACTCTGTTGGAAAGTTCTTTTTCTTCATCCATTTTTGACTACAGTCTTGTTTCAGGACTTTAGTTTTTCATGCACATTCGTTTTACAGATATGGCTGATTTGTACGTGGATTGTTGGTGCTTGCCTCTTAGGCAGAGACACTCTGACTTCGAAGGAAACACCTCTAGCTAGTCGCCCTTTACAACTTGCTTGTTAGACTTGGATTTAGTTAAGGTTTCAGCATCACTGCAATTATGTTTCCCCTTACTTGCTCAGTTCCTGTGCCAGTGCAAATCAAATGAAATGTCTCCCACTGTCGCATTTGAAAAACTGGTGAACAGTTAGTTAGTGGATCTGAAATAGCGAGCCAATTTATTTAAAGTGCTCTTTCATTAGGTTGCTTCTTCTTCTTCCTCCTCCTCCTCTCCCTTCTCTTTTTCTTCTTCTTCATGTTTACCAGCTGTGAACAGTGAGGGCACAGATAGATCATTATTGTCTGAGGAGAATGGCGCTGCGAGGAGTTACCAGGGGATCTGGCAGATGCTCAACACTCAGAGGAAGCGTGAGACGGATATACAATCAGACAGTTACTGGTGCCATCGGACTTGGAACTTTTCACTTGCTGCTGAAATTGGGGACAGAGCGTTTCTGGTAGTTTCCTGAGTGCTATGAAGTCGATTCTTAATTCAAAATTCACATACCAGCTGCAAACTGTGGTAGAAAGTCCTGGTTCTTGGACTTCCTGACTGAGATTTTCTCCCTGGACTTGAGTTTTGTGTGCACATCCATTTTACAGATCTGGCTTGTTTGTGGGCAGACTGTTGGTTTCCTGCCTCTCGGGCCGATGCATTTCTAACTTACAAGGAAACATTGATCCTATCTACGTTCACCAGGCCCCTGGTTGGGAACCTGTTTCTAGGGTGATCCGGAGAGGTATAGGTAGATCTTGTTCAGTATGAGCATTGGTCTGTGTGCATCACTACATGTGGTTCATCACCTTGTATCCCTTATTATGGCTATCTATCACCAAATAATGTGGTTTGAAGCCGGCTTTATTTGAAATGGCCATGTTTTATACATTTATTGCAGAATTTGGTACCCAATGCCAAAGTAGGGTTTAGCAAGGCTATGTCTGCAGGATGGATCAAGGTCGACAAAGCGGCTAAAGATGGACCAAAGGTTTTCAGACAGGTGAGAAAGTGTAGCTTTTGTCTTGTATGTAGTATGGTTGTGTTGAATTATTTTCATGTTTTTGCACCTATTTTTGTTAGAACACAGTCCTGAGGACTCATTCAGCCTCTTCATGCAAAAGCAGTAGACATTGATGTTTGATTGTAAACTGGACACAACAGACTTTGCATCCAGTGTACAAGAAATTTATGATTGGGGACTCAGAACTTTGTCCATATGGAGGGACACCTGCAGCAAGGAGATCCCAGGTCTGCCCAGTTGGCACTCTTGTAGAAATCAAACAGTACGGATCATTGGAGGACATGCACCACAGCTTTCATAGAGACCTTAAACCTTCTCATCTGAAAACCACTTTCAGGGAGAAAGAATAATATGTTTGCAGTATCCTTACACTGTAACCCACAGGGCTAAAGAGATAGGGTTGGACCTAAAAACTCATGGAGGAGAGAATTGGAGACAAATAATGTAGGGAGGACATAAAATTGAGCTGCAGGGAATGGCAGAATTAAGACATCTTGTTCCCCATGTGGGTTCCTGGGTTCTGTTGGTTGGGGGGGGGGGGGAGAAACAAGAATAGACCCACTGCCTCCCCAACACGCATGTTGTAAGAGATGACTAATTGGGGGCTTCTTTTAAAGTCGGAGTGCATCTGCCTGAGAAGCAAGGAACCAACAATCTGCATACAATTAAGTCAGATCTATTAAATGGATGTGCACACAACACTCAGGTTCTGGAGCAAGACTAAAGTCCAGAAGTAGACAAACAACTAGAATTTTCTGCTGGAGTTTACAGCCAGTGAACGCGAAGAAGAAGAAGACGACGACAACATGTTATAAAAACCTATGCTCCGGGTAATTAGGTATTTACAGTTCCAGCTGCATGGCAAACGGGTCACCCTATAGTTGCTGTGTTCCTGTGCCAACGAAAACCACACAGAATCTCAGCCACTCTCCTTGTGGGAAAAAAAACAGTGGCTAACTATTGTCATTAGCAAAAACTTCCTATGACTAATAACATTCAACCCAACCTATCCACCATATTGACCAGAAGTGGTGGGGAATTAAAAAAAAGATGAAGAAAAACAGCTTTTAACCCCTCCCTTCTTCAGACAGTTCAAAATGAATGTCTGGCCTAAATAGTTGATATAGAAGTTTATTTCTGGAAGTTTCTGAAGATTGGTGGCCTCCACCAACCTTCAGAAACTTCCCAGAAATAAACTTCGGAATCTGTTAAATTAACTCTCTCAGTCTGCAGCTGATTTTGGCCCAACTTGTTCTGTCCCTTGGAGTTAAGCTTTAAGATAATAAATACTTAGGTTTGAAGGGACCGACATTATGGGACAAAGGACAGAAGTGGTTGCAGTCATTCAAATGCTAATTCGGAGCATAACATTTGATTGTAATAGAAGACATTAAGAACATGTTATTATCTTTTGAATAACCAAGGAATGTGTGATGCATTTTTTGGTACTTAAAGTATTAATTTAAAAAAAAAAAAACATTGCTGATGTAAAGATCTGCCCTGAAGGTCTTAGTTTGAATCCGCATTGAGTCAGGTTTTAAAAAAAATGTTTTTTTTTATAAAGGCCCTTGGCTCCCAGGTCGTCCCAGCCTAAAAAGGGTACCAGATGAAGTCCTGGGATGTAAAGGTGGTCATCTTGATGTTGACTACATCACCCCTTCTTCTTCACAAAGTCCATGCAGTGTGGTGTTGGTAGTCATGTCTATCGACAGCCTTCTGTGACATGTACTTTCAGTCAACTCTGACACAAATAATCCTCCATGCCATGAATTCAGACTGCCCATCATCTGTTCTCTCGGTCTCCCTCTGCCTCTCCTCCCCGTCAACTTTCCTACTGTTACGATGTACTCCAGTTTTCTGCTTCTCATCACCTTATCAAAGAATGTAGATTGTCTCTTTCAGATGTAGGCAATCAGTTCTCTTTGTGAGTCAGTTTCAAGACATCCTCATGACTCTTTTTATCTATCCGGGATATTCCCATCATTTGTCTATAAAACCACATCTCTGCAGCTTCCAAATAATTTTTCAATTATCTACCAACTGTCCACGGTTCACCTTTATATATCAAGATAGGATTTATATAGCTTTCAAGAATTCTCTTTCTCGTCTCAATTGACAAATGCACATTACATAAAATATTCTTCATTTGGTAAAATGCTGCCTTTGCTTGAGCTGTTGAGTCTAGCATCTTATACCAGATATGTAAAAAGGGTGCTTTAACTGTACTGACTGAGGTAAAGTATTCTGATATTGTTGTTCATACAGGTTGATAGTATTGAGGATACAGTGAAATTGTGCCTGGAGAGAATATCAAATCTGAAATTGAATGATGTCACTGAAGAGCAAAAGAAGGACTTCAAGAAGCGAAAGTTGATTGCTGAAGTGTAAGCATAATTTTTAATTTGTGGAACCTACAACACAGCGCTTGGGACACTCCTATGTACTCCATCCCTATCTTCAGTCAGCTGGTCATTTCCATAAGTGCTCCATCCCCATATTCAGCAGCCATCACACAGTTCCAGTTCTGATTGTTCCATAGCAGTCTGATTGAATAACCATTTTGTCGTTCAGTGTTGGCCAGATCGCCTGGTCACTTCCTGCTTCTTTCCCGTATCGTTATGATCTGTTTGAGTGTCTGCATTGTTCACTCACTTCCAAAGTGACCGTCGGACTTGTCATGCATCATTTTATCACCCGCAGAACAAACCAAAATTAGGCATTTATAAACTTCTCTTTTCAGCTGACAAAGAGTAGTGAATTTATATTTGTATACTGGTCTCCAGCTTGACTTTTGTTTAGATGTTCCATGATTCTGAATGTTTCAGTGTCATGCATTGTCACACCCAAGATATGAAAATAGAACCATTTAAATGTATAAAATATATGAAAACATTAACTCTTTCAAAATGTTCCACGATTCTGAATGTTTCAGTGTCATGCTTTGTCACACCCAAGACATGAGAATAGAACCATTTAAATATATTAAAACATTAACACTTTCAAAACTTTCCATGATTTTGAATGTTTCAGTGTCATGCTTTGTCACACCCAAGACATGAGAATAGAACCATTAAAATGTATGAAAACATTAACTCTTTCAAAACTTTACATGATTTTGAATGTTTCAGTGTTCGTGCTTTATCACACCCAAAACATAAGAATAGAACCATTTAAATGTATAACATATTTGAAAACATTGACTTTTTCTCCCTCAATATGTTCCATAATTCTGAATATTTCAGTATCATGCTGTCACACCCAAGACATAAGAATATAACAGTTAAAACGTATAAAATATATTAAAGCATTAACTCTTTCTAGAAGTTCCATGATTCTGAATATTTCAATGTCGTGCTTTGTCACACCCAAGACATGAGACCAGAACAATTTAAACATAGACAGTATATATAAAACATTCTGTAGCAGCATATTTTGCAACTCCCGATTAAATATACACATATTTCATATGTTCTTTCTCTTATAGGTTATGGGACCCCATTTTGGTGGAGGGGGTGGGGGATACCCCCAGTAACTGGCATATTTTAAAAGTCTAATAATTAGGGTTGTATTTTTCAATGTCAGAATGAATCTGCCTGTGAGGTAACGAACCAGCAGTCTGCATACAAATAAGTCAGATCTATAAAATGGTTGTGCACACACAGCTTAAGTTTTGGAATAAGACCAAAGTCCATTAGTGGATGAACAACCAGAACTTTCTGTTGGAGTTTACAGCCGGTGAACGCAAGTAAGAAGAAGAGATATATGGTCACGTCACAAGAGAAAGAGCTTCACAACTATAATCATCCAGCCAGTTGTACACCTACATTCAAATTTGACCTTTGGAATCACATGGAGAAAAAAAAATACAATTTGAAAAAAATATGGTAGTTGTTTGCATTCACCAGCTGTAAACTCTGGCAGAAAGCCCTGGTTGTTCATTTTCTTCTGGCTTTGTTCCAGGACCTGAGTTTTGCGTGTGCACCCATTTTACAAATCTGACCTATTTGTATGCATTCTATTGGTTTTTCATCTCTCAGACAGAAGCGCTACGACTTTGAAACACCCCTAATTACTTGCCTTTTACGGCATCCACGGGGGGAAGGGGGGGGGGGGTCTATTCTTTTTTCCCTGAGCCAACACAGGGATTTAAAAACATTAAAACATGTTTCAATTAAGTAGAAGCATTTATTAGAATCAGTTTTGTGATAACAAATACCCAACATTTAATGTTCTAACAGTAAAGAGGTCAGTTATGTGGTCACAAAGGGAGAGAACTTCACAACTGTAATCAGCAAACCAGTTGTCGACCTGACACCAGAAATGATCTCAAGTGGTAGCTGGAAGACTACCCAGTTCAAACCTTACAACTTCAATGCTTTGGGAGTGCCAGCGGTTAGAGGGCACCTGCACCCTTTGTTGAAGGTCAGAGAGCAATACAGACAGATCTTTCTAGAAATGGGGTAGGTTACTTGCAGAATGTCCAATTTTGTTTTTCCATTGTGTGTTATAGCCTTGGTGCAGTCAGTCAGGTGTGTGACTCGACAGGATTCGTTGCACTTGATCTTCTCTCTCTCTCTCTCTCTCTCTCTCTCTCTCTCTCTCTCTCTCTCTCTTTCTCTCCCCCTCCCTCCCTCCCCCTATCTCTTTCTCCCTCCCTCCCTCTTTCTCTCTCTCTCTCCCTTCCTCCCTTTCTCCCTCCCTCCCTCTCTCTCTCTCTCTCTCTCTCCCTCTCTCTCTCTCTCTGTGTCTCCCTCTCTCTCTCCGTCTCCCCTCTTTCTTTTTTATCAACTCTGTCAGACTACTGTTCATCTATCCCGTGATGTTATCCCCACATTTGCAACACTATCCACCTGTTGTAAACTTTCCTTCCAGTATGTTTTTTTTTTTAGTTTTAATTTTCTGTATAAAATTATGGAGTCATTACATTTAACATTGCCATAGTTTTCTAAGAATCATTAATTATATAAAATATTTTACTGACACCGAAGCTCTGTTTGGTTTATGTTGTAACTCTTGACAATTTTCTTTATTTCTTATCTGTTTTTCAGTTGGCTGCAAAGGCTTTGTACCCTTGTTCATGATTGGTTGGATTTTACATCTAAAATCATTTATAGTCTTCCTTTATCTCTATTACGGCGTTGGGGGGGGGGGGGGGGGGGGGGGGGGGGGGGGGGGGCTCACCACGTAATATTCCCAAAGACAACAGTGGAATACAGTGGCCAGCCTTTGTTGTGGAGATAGCACAGAACTCATATCGTCTGTTAGAGTTAGGTTAGAGAGTTACTGTTCTTTGCTTCCTTGTAAGACCCAGCAGCACACGTTCAGCATTTCATCTTCTCTTTCTACTTCTGTTAAAGAGTTTGAGGTCAAATTAGATCATCGCCTGTATGCTAATTTAGGACAGTGCGTAATATAATAACACTGTAACATCATATTAGACATGTTACGAGAAGAAGTGGACTCAAAAACCTGGTAACGACTCTCGGGATTGGTGGATGGAGGTCAAGGGAAAGACAAAGATAAATACCTGATTGGCTTGACCATGTGGATTTGGCAAATCAAGAACGCTGAACTGGTCACCACAGAATAGGTAGTGTGCCTTATGCAGTAATGCCTGTGCACCTGCCGATTTGTCATGACTTGCTTCCACCAGCTGTAAATAGCAATTCTAGTGACAGACTGTAGGCCAGGGCTATTCAGCTGGGTCATTGCCACTTGTATTGTATTAATGATCTTTCCAGGCTGGGGCTCAGACCTCTGGACTGTGATGACCCCGGAGAAAACTTAGTTGAACAACCCTGTTTGCCCTTCTGTTGGCTGCCTTGTGCATTTGAAGCTATTGGGTTTTTTCGGGACCGCTGTCTGTTGACTTTTTACATGGGCATTTTGTGTGGTTTTTTTACTGGCACAGGAGCAGAGCATATAGGGGGTGACACATTTGCATGCGGGGAAACGCGGGTGTCGATGGAAATAAAAGAGCTGATAGGTTGGCTTGATCCACTATCATTACTGTGGGTCAACCTGTGGATTATGCTAATATTATTAAAGCCCTCCAAGAAATGGGAAGGGTGGAAGACTGGATGCAGTGAATTCACATCACTCGCCAGAATAGACTTGGGAGTTCAGATCTGCATAGCAAATCAGAGGACTTAGTAATAAACATAGAACTGGTACTATTAGCTACTAGACTGTGGTTTTTACGGGAAAGGGGGGGGGGGTGGTCTGAGCAGCTATAGACATTTCTGGAGTGCAATGATGATAACCTAACTAACATTTGCAATAAATTTGGAACCCTGACTGATACCCTAAATAGTGTTAAACTTGGGATTAACTACATATTCCGAAGAAAGAAAGCTTCAGCGGCTAAAGCCTACTAACCATCGGCAAGTGTAAAAAAAAAGCTGTGGGAGAGGTAAAGGCTGCTATATCTTGGCATAAATGGGTTGAGGGTCTGTGTTCCAGTGAGGAATAACAAGGGCAGGAGGGACTTTTGTACAAGATGAACATCTTCTTTTTAGCATTCACTGGCTGTAAACTCTGGCAGAAAGTTCTGGTTTGTCCACTCCTTGACTTTGGTCTTGATCCAGAACTTGAGGTTTGTGTGCACATCTGCTTTTCAGAATGGCCTATTTGAATGCAGACTGTTGGTTCCTTGCCTTTCAGACAGATGTGCTCTAACTTTGAAGAAAACATCCCTAATTAGTCATATCCTCCGGCATGCTTGCTTGAGGAGGGGGGCAGGGGCTTGATTCTTTGATCTCCATGTGGAAGATGAACATCAGAGATTTAACAGCAGTTTTTTGTCTTTAGTTTTTCAGAGATGCCCACCAACAACTATATAGAGTCAAGCTTCTGGAACTTTGATGCTCTGTTCCAGCCTCAGCAGCATCCAGCCAGGGATGCTCATGACACATTCTTTCTGTCAGGTAGGTCTAATACAAGAGCCAGTGTTGTTAGGTTCATGTGTGCATATACATGATAGATTCTTTCTGTCAGGTAGGTCCAATACAAGAGCCAGTGTTGTTAGGTTCATGTGTGCATATACATGACTCATTCTTTATGTCAGGTAGGTCTAATACAAGAGCCAGTGTTGTTAGGTATATGTATGCATATACATGACACATTCTTTCTGTCAGGTAGGTCCAATACAAGAGCCAGTGTTGTTAGGTTCATGTGTGCATATACATGATAGATTCTTTCTGTCAGGTAGGTCCAATACAAGAGCCAGTGTTGTTAGGTTCATGTGTGCATATACATGACTCATTCTTTCTGTCAGGTAGGTCTAATACAAGAGCCAGTGTTGTTAGGTACATGTGTGCAAATACATGACACATTCTTTCTGTCAGGTAGGTCCAATACAAGAGCCAGTGTTGTTAGGTTCATGTGTGCATATACATAACACATTCTTTCTGTCAGGTAGGTCTAATACAAGAGCCAGTGTTGTTAGGTACATGTGTGCAAATACATGACACATTCTTTCTGTCAGGTAGGTCTAACAAGAGCCAGTGTTGTTAGGTACATGTGTGCATATACATAACACATTCTTTCTGTCAGGTAGGTCTAATACAAGAGCCAGTGTTGTTGGGTACATGTGTGCATATACATTACATATTCTTTCTGTCTGGTAGGTCTAATACAAGAGCCAGTGTTGTTGGGTACATGTATGCATATACATGATACGCCAGTGTGTTGGGAAATGAACAGGTGGACAGACTGGCTGGCTCTGCATAATCAAAATGCTACTGGCACCATTAGTATCGGAACTCAACAGTGTTGGAAGTGCGATTAGATACCTGAGAGGTGCTAAGTGTACGCAAAAGAAACAGAAATTGTAAAAGCAGCACGATGCATTGATTACTTTTGACCAGGTGTTTATAAAAGTTACAACAAGGTTGCAAAGAGGTGACATCTCTTCTTTCTTCCGCAGAACCAGCTAACGCAAGTGCCTTCCCCATGGATTACTTAGACAAAGTGAAGGAGGTCCACAGCAATGGTGGCTATGGCTCACAAGGGTACAAATACGATTGGAAGTTGGAAGAGGCAGAGAAAAATATCTTGCGGACACACACAACAGCCGTTAGCGCTAGAATGCTTTACAAGCTGGCACTAGAGGTACAAACGGCGCATTTGTTTAATGTTGTGTCTGTCTTCCTTGTTAGATTATATGATTCAGAAATACAGTCGCTTTCTAATGTTTTGCTGTTAACAGACTAGCACAGAAAAGTAGTGATTGCCTATCAGCTCTCAGGTCCCTTTGAAGCAGGGATTTTTTTTTCCATTTGCATCCTGTTTTAAATGAATGGCTAGGAAATTTCCTGGGAAGTAAAGATAGGGGGCATGATATTAACCACATGACTCGTGAGGTACTGAGTGGTCTAAAAATGTGGGACTAGCACTTTGTGTCCAATGTACTTCAGGGGAGAAAATTCTTCTTAGTCTTCATCGGCTGTAAAACTCAGTGAAAAATTCTAGTTTGTCTGTTTTGGACAAAATATACTTAAGTAAAAATATATAAAGGGGTAATTAGTAAACATGAAAAGATTCTCAGAATATCTTGGACAAAGAAGAAGAGAAATACTGACATCTTGAAATATCTGAACATCAAGAAAGATTTGCTAATAAACAGCATCCTGTTTGAAGCTGCAATATTTTGGTCATATCAAGCGCGATAATGGATTGGAAAAAATAAAAGCAGAAAGCTTGGTACCAGGAAGGAGGGGCAGGGGCTGACCGACACAAAGATGGGTACAGGGTATAAGTGGCTCCTTGAGTGTGAAAGTACATGAGGTGGGAGAACTGGCGAGAGACCGAGTTTCTTTCAGGCAGACTGTGATGAGAGCGACGTTCTGCAAAGGACTTGCTACACGATGAGGATGAATAGAGTTAAGCATTAAATGCAATACCTTCCCCAAAGCTTGAAAAAAACCAAAGTGTATAGGGTGACCCATGCCGTGATCTCAATCACTGAGGCTTACAGGAAAATTTGACATCAATTTGGCCTTCATAAAGCCACTAGGGTCAAAATGAAAATGTCTCTAAATCAGTGTTTCCCAACGTGAGGCCCATGCCCCATAGGGGAGGGGGGTCGGGGGCAAATCGAAAATTCACGTACAGAGTTTTCATTTACATTATGGGCATACAAATTTTAGGAAGGCTTAGGTTGTGCATGGCACAAAAACGGGGTTAGGGAACACTGCTGTAAATCTTTTTTTTTTTTTTTTCGTTACTATATTAATATCCTGGCCTGTTCTACGCCGTGCAGGTGCACATTGAATTTAACTACACTTTTCGAGAACAGGTCTTGGCAGACTTGGTGATATTCCGGCATTTACTGTGTCACAACAGGAAGGTGACTATACTTGGTCTTCTCATGTCGTCATCATGATTAGTTCCCACTTCTGCCGTTAAGTGTTGTGGGGAGGAACAGTTTGCGATCCACTTTCAGCGAGAGTTTACAGCCAGTGAATGTGAAAAAAGAAGAAGAGGTGTAATGTGACAATGTAATCACCTCATGGTGATGGGCGATCTGATGGGTGTAATCAACCAATTTTGTAGGTGTATTTTACAGAAAAAGAATTCATTTGTGATAGTCACCACTAGTGATTTTTTTGAAGATAAAGACTTTAATAAACAGCATCTCCCTGTGTGGGTTCCGGGGCCCTGTTATAAGGAAAACAAGAATAGACCCACCGCCTACCCTATTTTGGCTACACCAATCACTACAGTGGATACACAAAAATGCTAACAGAACGGCATGGTGTTAAGATCGACACTGGATATATGTGACACCTTGGATAGGTAAGTGCACAAAGTGAGAGATCTGCATTTCTTTTACAGTGACTTGGATAAGAACAACATACTGCAAAGGATCTGATTTAGGAAACAAGGATGCCCAAAGGAAACCATAAAACAAACGTTGATATGAGAGAGCAGCGGTACCAGGCTAGATTCCATACATGGTATAGAAACAGTTTTACAGAATGGAATGGAGAAATGGACTGTGAGCTCTGTGTGATATATAATACTACAAAGAGAGACAATAATAATGAGGCAGTAACAATATATTGCATATGATGACTTTACGTTTCAAACAGTAATCTCCCTAAATCCCTTTTCCTCCTCCTATTTCTGTGTGCTGTGTTACTATTTTTACAGTAGAGGTACAGTAAATACAATAATTTTATATATTTATTTGTTTTTGAATTCCAGTATTTTCATCATTTGTTACTAGATTTACAGTGAACTATATTTAGGGAAATTCAGAATATGAGTTTGTTGGACCGTGAAATGTGTTGACTTAGTTTCCACTATTTTCAATGGGGAAAATTGCTTTGGAACTCGAATGATTTGGAATTTGAGCAGTCTCAGAACAGATTATTTGTCAGATTCCGAGCTACCTCTGTGTATAGCCTAGGAAACTGTTGTAGTGTCTGACTAAGGATCCTATTTAAAAAGATAAAAGTAATGTTTTTGAGGTGTGAAGTGTTAAGCTTTTATACACCTGCCGTGAAATGTGGGGGGGGGGGGGGTGGGGGGGGGGGGGGGGGGGGGGGGGGGTCTGATTTTATTCCTTCTCACCTTTCTTTTTCTTTCCCAAACACTTTTTCCTGTTTCCAGCGTTCACTGGTTGTTGACTCCAGGAAAAAGTTCTGGCTGTTTGTCCACTTTAGTCTTGTTCGAGAACTTTAGTTTTGCGTGCACATCTGTTTTACAGATCTGCTTATTTCTATACCGACTGTTGATTCCTAGCATCTCAGGCAGATGCCTTTTGACTTCAAAGAAAAATCCCTAATAGGTTGTTTTTGATGACATGCTGGATAGAGAGGCAGGTCTTTTTTTTTCAATTTTTATTTTTATTTTTGTTAAATGGGATCCGTGAACTCTCACAGGGATCATTCTGTACAGTTCCCAGAAAATTCTGGAAATTGTCTGGTGCCTGTTTTTGTTAGACTGGCTTGACCCCAAAGCCATAGCGGTCCATATGAAAATCATGGGAGTGAACCTTGACCGTTGTCTCGGCAGGCAAGTATTCTAATCATTGTGCCACCAGACACCTTTTTCTTTTTTAAACACTTAATAAATTCACATCTATATAGTGTTGTTTTATAAAATGAAGAATGAACAAACACTGAAGTCACGTCTCCATAGTAATTGAATGTGTATGATTCTACTTGCAGGTATAACTAGGCTACGTTTCAAGCCAGCATATAACCCGTACACTGAGCCAAGCATGGAGATTTTTAGCTATCATGAAGGTAGTGGAATATATAGTGAATATATTTATGTTATGGTGAATTAAACCACTATAAAGCACTCATGAGCTATATAAATCCTATCCTTATGTTAGTTAGTTGGGTTATCATCATTGCACTCTAGACATGTCCATAGATGCTCAGATCCTCCCCTCAGTATGAACCCCAGCGTCCGGTGGCTAACAGTACCAGTTCTGTGTTGATTAACAAGTCCTCTGATGTGCCTGGTGTGCATCTTGTGTTTTGGTGTGCCGATCTTATCTCCCAAGTCTGTCATTCTGGCAAATGATGTGGATTCTATCCTAATATGCAGAAGTGAATCACTGACAGTTGGCCGATTAGCGATAAATTATGTGGAAAAATTGTTTTTATAGAAAATAATGCGAATTCCCTAGACCAGTGGCTCTCAACCTTCCTAATACTACGACCCTTTAATAAAGTTTCCTGATGTTTTGGGGACCCCCAAACAATTATTTTCCTTCATAACTTCAATGAATATATGTTGTCCTATAGTCTTAGGCGACCCTTGTGAAAGGGTCGTTCGACCAAAAAAGGGTTGGTATCCGCTCCCCAGACAGATGAGAGAATAGTAGTGAAAATATTTTGAAAGAAATTGGCCCACGAAGAGAACTAATTGCAGACTTCAGAAGGAGACAATGTACATTCTTTGATCATGTCATGAAAAAGAAAAAACAGCCGGGGTACATTGTGGCGGTGTAAAATTTGTAGGGGAAAAGAGGAAACGGAGAAATACTGGCCAGTTAACATCATAGCATGGAAGATGATCTATGTCAAAATAAATTGAAAATACACGAGACAAAAGTTGTGAATAGACATAACTACCAACTCCGCATGGCACGGACTAAGAAAAAGAAGAAAGTGAAGTAATTGGCTAGTATTTTTAATGATGTAGTAATGTAGTGCGGCGTCCGTGGCTAAGGCATTGCGAGTCCGACTCGTAAGCCAGCATACCGTGATCGAAACCTGCGTGGGTTTTTATCGTGGTATGGGACGTCGCAGGTCGACCCAGCCTAAAATGGGTACCAGGATGGGCTGTCCTGGGAAAGTAAAGACAGCCGGCGTAATGCTGACCACATTACCCACAGAGTACTGATGGTCTGTAAAAATATGGGACGCTCTGCCCATATGCCCGATGCGCCGAAAGGCGTGAAAAGGGAACTTTACTTTACTTTACTTAGTAATGTAGTAAAGTAATTAATTAATGTGTTCGTAATTTACATAACTGCATTAACTTATTATACTTGTAGTGCTACAACATCGATAGAATAGAACTTTATCATTTCATCTGTTGTATACATCATAACCCTGATTTTGTTACAGCTGACAGCTGTTAAAAGTTAGGACCCAAATTGATTAGATTTCAAAGTTTTCAGTTATCCAGTATTATGTCTCTGTAATTTAACTTAAGGAATTTGAAACCTACACAATTTACAAGAGAAGAAACAAAATCACTTTATTTGTTCTTTCTCCCCTCTTTTATTGGGAGTGGAGGGGGTGGGGCGCTGGACGTGGTTGGCGACAACTGAGGGCTTGATTGCTACCTGAGGGGATAAGCGAACAAAAAGACCCTTTTTTTTTTATTGATCCGACACCACTCGGGACTGCATGGCCCAGAGCCTTTTAGGACTGATTAGTTTCAGGACTTCATAGAGTTTAATGAACAGGCAGACAGATTGGCTGGATCTGCACCACAGGGTAGTGAATTGTTACATGACAAGGCAGATGTGGTCAGGGCCCTTTGGGAACAAGCAATGGAGTCAGTAGAGAAACAAGATTATTATGGCCTGGAGAGAATGATTGGGTGTTACCAGAGGGTCTGGCCGGCTCACTACTCTCAGAGGAAAGGCAAGACGGACATATAACCAGACTGTGACCGGTACCATCAGCATTAAAACTCCTTGCTTGCTGCTGAAGATGTGGATGGAGCATGCATGGGAATGCCTGGAGTGCTGTGATGTCAATTCTTGACTGAGCTCAGCTCAACTCAACAGGACAAGGATTATCTAAAAAGAACCCAGCGCAGGACTAAAGCAATGACAAGGATAAAAAAAAATAGATAAACACGGGACCATATCTTTCACTAGGATATACCTTCCCATGTGGGTTCAGGAGCCTTGTTATGGGGGAAAGCAAGTATAGACCCACTGCTTCCTCAGCAAGCATGCCAAAGGAGTTGACTAATTGGGGGCACCTGTTGAAGTACATCTCCCTGAAAGGCAAGGAACCAGCTACAAAAAAGCCAGATCTGTGAAACGGATGTGCATGCAACACTATTTCTGGAACAAGACTAAAGTTCGGAGGTGGACAAACACCCAGGACTTTCTGCCGAAGTTTACAGCCAACGAACGCGAAGAAGAATCAGAGACTAGGATACACCAAGACCAAGACCTGACAGTTAAAGCGAAGCAACAAGAAGCACAATTAGGTGGACGGACATAATGGACCTTCAGCAGGACCAATATACAGGGATGACACCCATGTATGGAACACTAAGCTATGAACCATGGCACAGAAACAGTCAGGAGGGGCTGCCTGGTCTTGAATCATGGCGTCCGCCTCGAATGCTGGAGGTCCCGGGTTCAGGCCCCAATGAGGGCTGGAATTTTTTCACATTGACTTGAGTAATTTCCTCTGGTCTCTGGGTAGTAAGATTGGACGCCTGTATGTATTGTTGTGCACGTACAAAATCCCTTGGCAATTGAAAATTTTAAAAAGTAGCCTAACGGCGCTGCCCAGGCAAAATTTGGAGTTAAAAATCTACCCAAAGTATTTCAGGATCCTCGCCAGTGCTATAGAGCTCATGCATTGTGCTGAGATTCTTTGGACTCAGGCCTGAAGTAGAAAAGAGCACTTATAGGTTACCAACCTTGTGCCATGATGTTGATCCGATGTTAAAATCTAACCCTTTAAAAAAAAAAAATTTTTTTGCCATAACCTTGGTGCAAGAAAACCAGTCCACAATTATAGCCAAATTCTCTTTTTGACAAAACAGCTCGTTGAACATGGCACAATTTTTGGTTCATCAAAGTAGAAAAACCACTGCTGTTATTAACTCATATTGGCCACTGTCCAAATACATTATATGGTTAAAAACCCTTACAAGTCAGAAAACCGGCTTTCTTAGGATGACAGGGTTAATATGAAAATTGCAGCATATCTTATCTGAAGCACATTGCTGAACTTTAGAATTAATGATTTCTAAAATAGGTCTCAAGAAGTGGGTGGAGGTGGGCAATTCTGGCATGTTCCGTCCCGAAATGTTGTTACCCATGGGTTTGCCTAGTGATGTGTCTGTGATTGCTTGGGGACTTTCATTAGAGAGGTGAGCTATTTTTATTATTCGGTATGTGTGTGTGTGTTTTTCCAATAAACAAACATTGTATTGATTAGCACTCATAGAAAGATAGAAGGACACACTAGATAACAGAAAAATTGAAAGCTATAGATACCATGCCCGGAATCGAACTTATCACCTCCATATGGCATGTGGGCCTCGCTAAGAAACAAGTGGACTAAGAACATGACCAGCTAAGCACTCCAGATAAAGGTGTCTTCATTGGGCATGTCTATCGTACAGCTTGAAATCCACAACCATGGAGTACGGACAGAATTCATCTCAAACCATTGAAATGGCACAGTAGGTTACAGAAGTTTGTATTGACCAAGCATAAGTTGAATAACAAACACAGCAGATCATAATGCTTTGTCTAGAAACCACAAACATTTGAGAAAGAGATTCGGTTGGTAGGTTCAATTGTGTTACAGGTCATTGACATAAATAAAGGGGGACGGACCTTTGAAATATTATATATGTAATAAAACTTATTTATGCAAGCAAATGTGTGCCTCAAAGCTCTTCCTAATTTGCTCGTTCACATTTCAAGATTCTCTGTCCTGTGGTGGTCTTGTGGCGAAGTGGTTAAACCGTTTGTCTTATGCTGTGAATGAATATCATATGTTGAGTTTTGGACTCTGTTGTTCCCTTATCAAGTACAGGTGTTTCGAAGATCCCTGGGGGTCGTTGCTGTAGCTACAGAGTTTAATGCTTTGTGCAGTTCTCTCGATTGGTGAACAGCCGCTCTAAGGAAAGATACCAAGAAATATGGGATAACATGAATTTAGTCCTCTCACTTTTAAACATATTCTAACAGCCATGCAACAAAAAATTCCATTATAATCAGTTTTGTTATATCCTGTACGGCAGCGCGTTGGCTGGATGTTTGCCTGCTGGCCCAAAAGTCTTGGGTTCGGTGATGCAGATTTTTAAACAAATTACCTGGGCTCTCAGCTCACCCTAGCCTTAAATAGGTAGCAGAGAATATCCTAGGAAGTAAAGGCAGCTGGAGCGATGATGTTGACTGCCATCTAGTACCTGGCACCATGTGCCTCATGTGCCAGTGATATGAAAAGGACCTGTTTTTTTTTTTTTCTTTTCTTTTTTTTCCAACTTTAAAAAAAATTTATGGAGTTGCTGTGTTAAGTTTTAACGTATGCTCCTGAGAGTAAAGAACCACTAGAAACATGGGACGAAAGTTGAATGCATTTGAAAAATGTCTGAGGAAAATGATGAAAATAAAATGGGATGAAATCAAAAGGGGTGAAGAAATGTCTAGGCAACCACTAGTATCAACTGTTTTCAAGCAGAAGACGGTGCTTTATCAGACACATTCTGAAAAGAGACAAACATAGAATCACCAGACAGACACTGATATGGGAAATAATTTGAGGGAATAAGGACTATAAAAGGGAAACCCTGGGGTGAACACTGATGAGAGAGGCCAAAGATGCTTGACTGGATTTCATCCGTAACAAAGTTATTACAAAGGATTGCATGCAATGGAGAAACGGTCGGTGAGTTTTGTGTGGCATGTAATGGCACAATAGAACAGGGAACTGTCAGTGGTTCTTGACCTGGGCCAGTGGAATCATAGTACACTAGAGGTTCAGGGTATATACAGATAGATAATGGGGGGAACAACCTGGAATGTAGTAAATGTTTACCCTGCTGTTGAGTCTCGTCACAAAAGAAACTTTGGGACAGGCTCAAATAGTTGGAGGAAATCCCTGGTAATAGGCTTCTCATCTGTAGGGATTTCAGTGCGCGGAACAGAGCATGGGACAGTAGTGGGGAAAATAGACAAGGAAATCCATTAGCTTTAGTGTTGATTCTTAATTCAACATTTAACAGAACAGGGAATTCATAGCAGTTGGTCATCAGTTGCTTGGTTAAGAACGAGTTAAATTAGCACAGTTGTTTTTCTTTTTTTTTATTAGAAACTAACTGTTTGCTGTGGTGTTGTTTTCAGGCCTACAATGATCAAGTATGGTATCGACAATATTCGTGAGCTTGTGGGACCAAAAGTCAACTTGAAAATGGTTTATGACAACCCTATATGTCGTTTGGATAAGCGATGATTTCTCAGCTAGTGATTTGGTGTTTATGTTTTTTTTTTCATTGAATATTTAGGTATTTAAAATATTTGACTATTTCATTGTCAAAATGTGAAGATCAGCATAAAAAAAAAACACAGAAGTGGTGACATTCTCCAGAAAAGGAAGAACCAACAATATCAAAATTGATGACACCAGTTAAAGCAAGCTGTGGATTTAACATATCTGGGAAGCATTTTTTTTTTCAGAAGACTGAAGAATTAGTAAAGAAATCCAACAAAGATGCAATAAAGTCAACTAAGTTATAGGGCAGGTGGCCCCAGTTTTGAAATGCAAGCATGTGAATATAAAAACTAAAAGAGCACTGTCCAACACAATATTCTTACCAGCGCTATGCTGTCAGTGTCAAACATGGACAGACTTCAGAAACAGAAATGAAATGTTTATGTGCAATGCTAGGTGTAACAATGAAAGATCAACTTAGGAACGATATCAGTATAGAAGAACCAGTACTAAACTTTTTTGGCAGACACCAGATCAGATGGTTTGGCCACGTAACAAGATTGACACCAGACAGGGCACCACAGAGAGCAATGTTATACAAATACAATAGTAACAGACCCAGAGGTCGACCACACAGAAGATGGACTGCAGAAATATCACGACACTGAAAAGTACTAAATATGAAGTGAACAGAAGAGCCAATTCCAGAGATCTCTTCCTGCCTTGAAGCTGAGAGGCATTCCAGGAGTAGAGAAAAGAAGTAGCAGAAGAATCTTTAGCTATTTAATATATTAGGCTATTTCATTGTCAAAATATACTTTGTAGTAGTTCCAGTCATTGTCAGTATTGTTGTTTGGCTTTATAAATATGAAAAACCAACTGTCGTTAAGAGTTAAAATGGCAAGAAAGACTACATTTTTGAGAAAGCAATTTTTAAGCATATTTAGCCATTTCCCTGTCAAAATAAATAAGTTTTTGCAAGAAGTGTGAAGTTATTGTTGAATCTACAACAGGTCCAGCAAACCAATAGATTTAATTGTCTACACACTGGTGCTCAAGAAGAATTAGATACAGAGTTAGCACCCCCCCCCCCCCCCCCCCCCCCCCCCCCCCCCCCCCCCCCAAAAAAAAATATATATATAGAGATATAGAAATATACCTATACATTAATCGCACAGCAGTAAAATGTGTCTAAATGTACAATATTTGCGGTCTTTGAATACATTGCGGTAGCAAAGTGTTGCTTGGAGTTTTTAAACATTTTTTATACAAAATTGTTCAGACATGAAGAGGTGCAGACAAATTACTTGTGATATTTGAAGTTACTACGGGTACTCGAAGTGATTCCCATAAGCCTCGGACACTTTTCGTAACCAGAATACAACGCCTAGCTACCGTAATTCGATCAAAACATGGCAGAATATGTAACGTAATCATGATGTTTTTAAACAGGTAGCCTGTGTGAAAATATTTATGCATTTCACTGCTGGGCGATTACTGTGTATACATTTGGGGAGCTAACTCTGTATATGTCTGTGCAAACCAAAGTTCAGCTTTTTAAAAAGGAACAGAAAAGACTCAGCTATTTTATTTGATGAGTATTGCATAGAACACACTGTCTGTGGACATAATTGACTTGCGACTGTTTACATTAAGGCTAGTTTATTCTGGGGCCAAAATGTTGAAAATGGGGATCGTCACAGGCCAGATGCCTGAGCCCCTAGCCTAGAAAGATCATCACTACAGTACAGCTGGTACCGATATGAAGGCCACTTGCTAGGCCTCAGCGGGCCGGATATGGCGCACCAGTTGAATAGCCCTGGTTTACATTGTAGCTGCAGTATTTGCACTTTGGGTTTAAACATCCAGTTTCTTCAATTGTTGCCCGGGTTGGTCTTGCAGGTGAAAGAAATATAATGTATGCAGAGCAAGGGCAAGAACATGGGGAAACGTTGGAATGGCAGCATAAAGAATAACCTTCAAGGAATGAAGATTCCCATTTGATCAGTTCATTTACCTCTCATTTAAGCATCACTTCAGAGGTCCCAGGTAGTTTGCATCCTTTGGATTTTTTCTCTAGTTATACCGGTGTGTGGAGAAATGAACGAGCAGAAAGACTGGCTGGTTCTGCGCCACTTGGTGGTAAATTTATGTATGATAAGTTAGATATTGTAAGGGCCCTTTGGGAATAGGTGGACAGTGCGGAGGCGCAGATAGATCATTAGGGTCTGAGGAGAATGGCGCTGCGAGGAGTTACCAGGGAATCTGGCCGATGCTCAACACTAAGGGGAAGGATGAGACGGTTACTGGTACCATCAGAATTAGAACTCTTCGCTTGCTGCTGAAGATGGAGGACTGAGCACTTATGGGAGTGTCCCAAGTGCTGTAATGTCGATTCTCAATTTAACATTAACATCTTCTTTTGTTCTCTGTAGTGAAAATGAACCCACTGCTGGATTGTTAGGTCTGTCACAATTTCTCCAGATCCCTGTTGGCCAGGATGTTTCGAGGTGGCCTGGGATGGCCTTCAATGCTACTGTAGCGGTTCATTGCCACAAAAGAGTGAATAGCAAGAAAGACAAATCAGAATCTCATTACTATATTAGTTGTAAAAAGACTTGTCTGGAGTCCGGTGTTGGTTTTAATTGATTGAGAAATGTACTGAATAAAGAGATGGGTTACTGGTCACAGTGTTGGCTGGATTGTTATAGTAAAAAATACATTTCTGATTTCAGCTGTTCACTTTCTGTTAACCTTTTCGCTCTATAAAGCCGCAAAACTGACACTTCCAGTGGATACATTTCCCCGTAAATGTCACTTTTTCTATTTTACTAAAATGACCTGTTTACGGGACGTATAGTTTATGCTGGTGGATGTTTTCACATCTACGTAAATGTTTAAGAGTCAGGATATGAATATTTTAAAAACCTGGGGGAGGGGGGGGGATGTTCTTTAGCCAAATAGTTTTTGTAAGGACAGGTTGCGGTCAAATTTTTGCATAAGAACTAGTGACAGAGGTCACGGCAAGAGTCGCCTGTTTTTGAAGACCCTGGAGAATGTAATCCTGTTATTACTTCATATTGTTTATTGATTACTTCATCTATCACTGTATATTTTAAAGAAAAAATTTTTTTACGTGTACAAGATTTGGAGAGGCAAGATCGCCCACGCCAGTCAGCAAGACACTTGATGATTATGATGAGTACAGCTAATAATATTCTTCGTATAACTCATTTCTCATGCTCAGGAAGAATTAGATATGGGTGTGTGTGTGCACAAACCACATTCAATTTGTAATCAGTTCATTTGAATGACATTTTTCCATCTTAGTAAGCATAATTTTTGTTTTGGGTCTGTTTCTGACCATTCTGCCGCAGATCTTTCCAATTGCTATGATGTTCTTTATTGCATCCCTTTTTCTTATATGGCCCTAGAACACTTTGTCTTTTTTTTTTTTTTTTATTACTGCAAAATGTTCCTCTTTCAGCAGCCTTTTCTGGTCAATTATTGTTTGTTATTCTGGTAGTAAGAAGAAAAGCTGACAAATTACCTGCTTGGCTTGCTTTGCACACAGACAAAAAAAGAAAATCATCATGTTGGATCACCATCCCCAAAGGGGGAGGGGGGGACTTTTGGTTATGATTAGGACTAGGGAGGTCGGGGGCTGTGTGGTCTTGAGTCTGGTGTCGCCTCGAGTGCTAGAGGCTAAGAGGTTTTGGGTTCAATCCCTGGTAAGGGCTGGGATTTTTTCACTTGGACTTCTAGTAATTCCCCCAGGTCTCTGGGTAGTGAGATCGGATGCCCGTGTGCATTGTTGCGCATGTAAAAATAATCCCTTGGCAGTTGGAAATCGAAAAGAGTATCCTAACGTCGCTGCCTGGGCAAAATTTGGTAAAAAAATCTACCAAAAGTATTTCAGGATCCTCGCCGGTGCTTCTTCGGACTCAGACGTGAGTTAGAAGAAGAATGGAGCACTGATGGGTTACTACCAGTGTGCCATGACGTTGATCCATTGTTCAAACTTCAAACTTTGTGACTAGGTTATGTGCGCCATATAAAAATAGCTTAGCATTGCTTACACACCACCAAGAAGCTCTGAAAAGAACTCTTGCAGTGTTGATGCGATTATAGAAAACACCTAAATACTGTTCTAGCTGACGACGAAGTCGTCTACTGGCCAGCCAATGGGTGACACGGTCGATGATGGTGATTACTTTCTTCAGGATGCCAAGAATAGTCATGAGTTCACTGCTTAAAATCTTCATTAAGGGATGAACTTGAGAACAACTGGCAAGACTGATGTAAAGAAATCAAGAGGAAGATCAGAGAGATAAAATATCTGGATGGCTTAGCCATGTGGAATCAGCAAGACAAGAACACTGACCTAATCCTAATGATTCTGGTGATCTTATGAAATGGCGAAACATGGCAGCCTACGCTTATCGGCACAGCAGATGATGGTGATGACTGCCAGTCCTAGTTATTTTGCAAAATGAATCTCATAAACATCTTTGCTGCCTTCACACCCTTAGAAATTTGTTTGAATTCCAGGATTCGCTGTCTGATGTAACATTTCGCCACTTTCAGGTCCCATTTTACAGACCTGACTTATTTCTATGCAGTTAGTTAGTTCCTTACCTCTCAGGCAGATGCACTCCGACTTTAAAGGATTCTCAGAACATTACCCATTTAAGGTCCCGCCCCCCCCCCCCTCCCCCCCCCCCCCCCCCCCCACTTTTTTTGCGTTTTAAATTCACCCACCGCTGGTTCAAACCTAAGACTGGCAGGCAAGCCTCTCGCCACTGGGTCTTCGAATTTGTAACGACAAAATCAAACACAATTACATAAACATATAACACAGCACCAATCTAAAACTAAATAATTCAATGGTGACTTCTGCATGAATTAAGAACAGTTGGTAGATCAGTGAAAAATTATTTGGGAGATGTGGTTTTATAGATAAATGATGAGAATACACTGGACAGATTTTCTTTTTCTTGTCCAGTTCCATAGCAACATGC